TGTGTCAGTGGACTTAGAAAAACATTAAAGTTTTTGTCCAGATAGATATTGTTACTTGTAATATCAAACTACTTTTTATAAATATATAATCATAAGTAATTTATAACAGTACCTTATTATAATTCATTTCCTCTAAAATAATTTAGAACCCACAAAAAATGTTAAGCATCCTATCAGTATTTATTTGATTTAAAAAGGGACTATAATTGAAAAGCAATTAATTTCAGTATAATAATACAAAACTTTATCAGTTGAAGACATAGTTAAGTAAAATGTAAAGAAGTTACATTAAATCAGAAGCAATAACTAACAAAGTTTCAGCTAATGTCATTATTGTCCTTTACACTGTAGTATACTGTGGCTTCCCAGCCTACAGTCAAACCATAGCATCAAGTTTAGTTAATAAGATCATCAAGAATAAAATATAAAAATGTTACAGTGTAGTTAAGTGAATAAATTAAGAAAGAATGCAGGAAATTTTAAGGGGCCTATATTCTTTGTTTTCAAACATGAAAAATATCCAGTATAAAATATTGGTAAGAAATTCTTTACAAGACATTTCTATTTCAACTACAGTTCTACTTTAGTTAATAAATAAGATTTAATATTTTAATTTGATTCTAAGTAAACTTATGGTATTTCAGCAAAGTTTAGAAACAAAAATATCAAACATGAAACAAAGAAGCTATAAAATGGAATATTAAAAGTATACACCTTATTCACATCTACACCTGATTTACTAAATTATTCAAAAGAAAAACTTCATAAAAAATGCAGATGATAGTGTCCTTATTAAATATTTTACTATATATAATCATATAAGGGACAGTGATGTAAAATAAAACTTTTCTTAATACTCTATCCATTCCTGTAAACAACAACATAAAAAAGAAATTATCAACATGTGAAACTTTGTACTGGTGAATGTGGAAAAAAAACAACCAGGAAGATCATGTTTATTTTCACCTATTACATCATAGACTAAATCAAACTAAGTTATGAAATATGTATTTGTAAACAACAATAATATTAGGTGAAAGTTTATGCATGTACAGGGATAATGGTGTATAATTAGTTGTTGGTCTGTTACTAAAGTTTTATTTTAAAAATGTTAACAAAAATTCCAGAAAGTGTAATTAATTTATTTAATGAAAATTTTTTATCAATCTGTATTTGAACAGAAATGAAAGATGTGTCAAGACAGCTTTTAATATATCTAACATTTCTGAAATAAAGCTAATTTTATTTATTTTCCACCAGTTATTTTAAGATCAAAACTTACAGATATGAGACTTCTTAAATGATTAAGTAATTTTCATTTTATACAATTTTTGAAGCTTTAAGCTTAGAAATAATAGTTGTAATTATTTGGCTATAATAAGGTCGAAATGGACTACCTGGACTTGATGGATTTAAAGGTGACAAAGGTGAAGCTGGTATTCCTGGGGAACCAGGAATTGTTGGTGCCAAGGGAGAACGTGGTTATAGAGGTCCTCCTGGTCCTTCTGGACCACCAGGTGAGTGGAAGCTTTGTAATAATTAACATCTAGGTGGCAATAAACTTATTTTTACAAAATATTGATATTAGTGCAGTTCATGAAATTTCAAAATATAAACTCTCAGGTTGTTTGTTTGTAACATTATATTGCATTGTTTTTTAGAGATGAAAGTTTGTTTTTGTTTGTATTTAGAACTGTAAAAGATGTATGCTTTTGTATATTGAGCTATTACCCTGAAGTTTAAGCTACTCAAAATTTAAGCCTTAAAAAGGAATTATGAGCATTATCAGTTTATAAGTTTTTGAGTGCTTGAGGTAATTCAAAAACTTATAGTTCTTGTACAGTTAGTAAGTTTATTATTCAAATATTGTCAGTCAAAATAAGCTAACTAGATCAGAATATAAAAGTAATTTACGTTAATGGAAGAAATCCTATATAATAAAGTAGTGAGAACTATATAATATTATAAAAAAAAATTACAAGAAAACAAAAATCCATAATGAGTAAAGTGCACTGAATTATAAGTTAATTGGGTACTTGGGCTCACTATTAACAATATTTTCAGTCACAATCTCATTAATGTTTTACTATATCTGATCATTTTAATAAATTTGGCTAAGTCCTAAATCCATGTACTAAGAAAAAAGTAAAAAAATGAAAAATATTCAAAATTATGATAAATAATATAAACAATGATGTTAATGTAGTCAAACAAATATAAATCTTCATATGTCAAAATCGGTTTAAAATATTCAAAGCTATCATAAATATTATGATCAAAAGTATCAAAGAAATTAACTGTGAATGAAAAACGTATTTCGTTACTTAAACACATTAAAATACACAGTATGATCCACACAGCTGAACAGTAAACAAAAATGATATGACATCGGTGTATTAAAATAATGTACACCCAACACCATAAAAAGATTTAAGCCACAAAAATTAGCAAAAAATGTTTGTTTTCATAATATGATTAGGTCTGATTTAAGGCTGTAAAAGTTATTAACTATTTTGGATACATAGAAAAAATAAAACTTTAGTTTTTAAGTATTTCAAATCAAGAAACTATTGTTTGAGTATGACTACATTAATTCTGTTTTGTAATCTCTGTAACAAACCACCAAATTTTATTTCTTCAAGAAAGTCTGTGAATCCTAAGACACCCAGTAAAAACCCACCATATAACAGTTAGGTTGCATTTATAGCTAAGTTTGGGTTTTTTTAAAATAAAATAATTTTTATAAGAATATTAACTGTAATACTTTTTCATAAAATTTGGATGACCTGAAGTGCACATTATAAAAAGTAGAAATGAACGTTTTTGTATGGCAACAAGATTTCAAATCAGGTAAGAGATTATTATATGTGGCAACCAAATACCAGAATTTATGTCATATTAATATATAAGTATTTAATATTGATGATTGTAATGTTATATGGTTCACAAATTATTCATTACTGTTTTAATTTTAATCAAAATATGGATGTGAAAATCAAATCAATTACTAGTGTTTATTTCATGCAGAAGTCAGTCAGTTTTATTACAAATCCGTGAAAAATAATTTGCTCAGACCATTAGTGGATTGCTGTAACAAACCTAGCCATACATCAAATTTGTAAAAGTTTGTGCTATAGTTCTCTATCCATGCTTTTAATATTTTTTGCTCAAGATATTTCGTATTGTTCGCTTAGAGGTACTTTTTAAAATGTTGTAAAGATGGTGTGTGATGCCTGAAAATTTCCTGAATGTCAAGATTTTACATTTTACTTCATATAGATTTGGGAAAAATTGATATTGTATACAAAGACCAGACTGAGTGAGTAACTTAGTAATTTTCTGACTTAGCCAGTTAGAAAGTGAGTTAGTTAGTCAGAGAGCAGTTGTTGCCTTTGCATATGGATGCTACATTATTGTTTTTCATTTTTTCACATAAAGGTATAACTGGTAATAGAGGACCAAAAGGAGACAAGGGTTCTGTACCACCTATCAACTTGTATCGAGGAGAAAAGGGAAATCCAGGGTTACCTGGAGAAAAAGGAGATATTGGTCAAAAGGGAGAACCAGGCCTAAGAGGACCTCCAGGATTTCCAGGTTACTTATAATGCTTGGTATTAAACAAATGTAAAAGGATAAAAATATAATCATTGTAAATAATAATTTAAAATATTAAATACTAAATACTCACTCCTCTTAACTCATTACTGAGCTTGATCATTATCATGTTATACATTTTAACAGAGAATTAAAGAATATAAAATTATTCTCAAGACTTAAAAAACACTACTTATTAATTTATAAAAAGTGTGTACCAAAACCTTTATCACTACAACTTATTAGCACATGATCAAAACTGTATTGAAAGAAATAGAGTTCTCATGGCAGCTCTTTTGCTCAAAAGATTATAAAATATTTGAATAGGTTCTGACATTTAACATTCTTATTATAGGTCGTGCAGGACAACCAGGAAGTAGAGGACCTTCAGGTTTACCTGGACTAGATGGCCCTCAAGGGTTAAAAGGTGTTGATGGTTTCCCAGGTATACCAGGTCCACCTGGTATTCCTGGTTCAATTGGCCTTCCAGGTCCACCAGGACAACCAGGTCTGCCAGGAAGTGATTATCTAATGGGTATCCTGTTGGTACGACACAGCCAATCTTCCACTTTACCTCAGTGTCCACAGGGTATGCAACATATGTGGAATGGATACAGTTTGCTTTACATTGAAGGCAATGAAAAAGCCCATCATCAAGATCTAGGTATGCATTTTCTTTCCAAATGTATTTCAACTATTCACCACATATAGGATATTCTTATAAAATTCAAATTTTAACTACATTGTGGTTCCTTAGTGGGACAGCAGTAAGTCTGTAGATTTACAATGCTAAAATCTGTGTTCCGATATGATACATACCTCCTCTCACACAAAAGTTTTTTCTGATCTTCATCTGTCCTCTAACGCATTAAAGAATTTTATTCTTGCTTGACTCATTAGCCTTTATTCCCAGTCAGTTCAAACTGCTCATTTAGCAAGCATGAGATAGCCCTCCACCAATAGGAGCATGATACACACTCCTGGAGCAGCTGTATTACATTTCGTGCACCTTACTTTCTTGATTGGCACCATACTAGTCAGACATGTTTCTCACTTAAGATCAGCTTTTAATGCTGACTACACGTGATTTTGTTTTTATGTGCTTTCATTCTATGTAGCATTATGTCATGATACAGATTTTGATTTGTTATTGTGTTTTCTCCATTTCCTATTTCTCATGATTCCCAACACAATTACTACTGTTTCTTTCATGGATTCAGTATTGTCTGCCATGAGGGTGTGCACCTTAATTTGTCGAGAGTTCACTTCCTCCACTTGGCCTGGACCTTCTTCTGTATGTTTGAGATGCAGGTAGTTTTGCTTGTTTTATTTTTCTTGATCCAGTTGTCGTGCCATCAAATTTTTCGCTTTGGTGAAGATTTGTTCTTCTCCTTTCCTCTTGTTACTTCCAGCTCTCCCAGTGACTCAGTAGTAAGTAGTTTGACTTGTATACCACAAACTGTGTTGCTATACCTGTGGTATGCATGGCTCGGATGGCCATTGTGTAACTTTGTTCTTATTTCCACATTTGAGTATTCAATATTTTATGTCATTATTGTCCTGACTTTGGTAACTTGGATATTTTTATGTACGTTGTTGTCTGTATCATTTTCAATAGATTGTTGATTAGATATTAGTTGGTACTTTATTTTCATGGTATATCTAAACAGTTTGTAAGTTCAATATTATTCATTCCTTTGTTGGCAGGATACATTTCGATGGTTTTTTTCAATTTGATATTAACAGGTACTTTGTCCACTAGCTGTGTTAGCTGGTTTATACGTTATATGTTACTAGTATTACCAGTGCCTTATGATTATCTCTGTAATAGTAATTTAATTATAATAATTTTAAATTGTATTCATTATAAATAAATCAATAGTTATTTAATTATAATAGTAATTTATGGTAATTTCTGCATCATCCCTTTTTTAATTTTTTTATACTATAAACCAATCTCTGTCCACATATTCTACAGTACCCACATTGTAGTTAATTCTTTCTCACTAGCAGTTAGTTAATACTTGTATTATTCTGTTGTTTTCCTATTCACTTCAGACACTTTGGCTCCCCAGTGGCACAGCAATATGTCTGCGGAATTACAACGCTACAATCTGGGTTTCAATACCCTTGGTGGGCAGAGCACAGATAGCTCATTGTGTAGCTTTGTGCTTAACTACAAACAAACAATCAAACACTTTGTGCAATTTCAGAAACATAACAAGGTTTTGTTTTCTAAGGTTAGTGTTATTTTCCTAGGTTCCTGCACTTTGGTTTTTATCTCACTTGGGTTCGGGTACCTCAACCCCTGGAATTTCTATCTACATTTTTTTGCCATTCAGGGTGTGGCTGTCGTCGTCGGCCTTTCTCCACTTCCCAAGCTTCTTTGATGTTGGGTTTTGTTGGAATGACACATGCTTACTTGTTGGGGTTTGTCTCTCCACATCTTCCCTCTGGGATTTCAAATTGGTTCTGTTTTTGTGTAATACAGTTTTTGGGGCATATTTTACTTCTTTCGAGTCTTATATCAAGGTGGCCATTTTGCTTACTTCCCTTCTGTCTTTTACTTGCATCTTAATGTTCTCATCCCTTTTCCTCATTTCTGCCATGCCCATCTTGGACATCGACTATGATATGAGTCTTTACATGGTGGGGTTAAATCCTGTAGAGACTGGATTTCTCTGGATTGTTAACTTTTGGGAGACCTTCACTTTTGTTCCGTGGGTTCTATGGGTTTTTCAGAGTGTGGATCTATTCACTACCAGTGGCCATCTTCTCACTTATTGTTTACCATTTCTTTCCTTCCTTAAAGATATCCTATCTCACACAACTGGTTGCCCACTGTTAGGTAACACCTTCTCTTACCAGGAGCTTTAGTGCCAATTTTTCAATTTGGCCAAGATTTTTCTTCTCAGCCTTTATTTGGCCCCTCCTTGGCTGATGTATGGAGGCCCATCATTGATCTCTTCTGCCTCCTTCAGCTTCTGGTTCCTCTTTGTTCCACTAGGTGTTATTTCAGTCTCTCCATTGTGTTTACACATCTTGTCTGTGGGTGTCCTTGTTTGATATAGTAGTTGCATCTCTTCCCGTCTATTTTCGGTCGTCCACGGGGTGTGGGGGGGGGAGCTCTGTTTCAGGCTCTTCTGTTTGGGTTTCCTTCAGATCCTTTCTGTGTTTTTGTGAGTAATAACGAACTATGCTGGACATCTACCAGTGTTGATCATCTGGTCTAATCGTTCTCAGGACAACTGGTTTCAGGATTTTTCCTGTCTTCAGTCCACTTTAATTTGCTCCTGGAGGAGACAGATCATGTGGTTTGGTTCTTTGATAAGAGTGATTTTCTCTTTCCCTGTTTTTGGTTCTCTTGGGGTATTTGCTTTATTTCAAGACCCTTTCCTCTCTTTCCTAGCTACCTCAAGAGGTTCTATCTTTTTTGAGGATTTGGGCTTCATTGGTTGCTCTCATAATTATCTTTGACACCATCGTATTGCAGGTCTTCCACCTTTAACCAATGCTTCTGTTGCAGGTTTGTGTACATATCTCAATACCCAGTATATTTTCAAGTATTGGACCTTGGCATATCTGTGCTTCGTTTCTCAGTTTGGTGTTCTTTATTCTTTTGTAGAGCTCTGTCTCTTATCTTCTATCTTTTGCAATAGATGATGGTTTTAGCTTCCTGCTATCTTCTAAGTGGTCCTGTACCTCTGTCTGTAGGTGGGTGTCTAGTTCTGGTTCGTTTTTTGTTTTTATTCTGAGGCCACAACTTCTGGACCAGTGTACATAGGATACTGCTCTTGGCTTGTCTTATTCCCTGTGTTTTGTATCTAGTTGTGGAGCGGTTCTACCATCCACACATGGTCATTCCCATGGAGTGGTTCATCCATCCTCCTGTTGTCTGGTGGTTATGCTCTCATCTAGGCACTCAGCACATAGATGCATTTGCCACTTGTCTGGGTGGCATCCTGCTGTCTTTCTGGTCTCTGGTTTCTTGGCCTCTGGTTATCGGTTGGTCTACTTTTTTCCTAGTATGGAGGAACCTTCCATTTCATGCCTTCCCACCTATAAGTCTTCTCCCTTCATATATTTCTACAACTTCATCCACAACTCTCCATGTCAAGTCCTTTAGGTGACAGTTTAGGTTCCCCTTCCAGAGACCTCCACTGTCTATAAAGGAGTCTCTGCCTTTGCACCATTTTCCATCCTATCCTTTTCCCATATTTGTTCCCAGTTGGTTCCAGATTGTCTTCTGTTTCTTGCTTTGTTGCTCCAATGATTTCCTTTCATGGCTCTTCCCTGGAACTTTTTGGTGTCTCGTGTCCTTTCCTCTTTCACTATTATGGATTGGGTTCACCAGGTTATTCAGTTGGTTTAATCTTCCATTTCCTCCATAACCTTCTTATCATGTCTCCCCTCATCTGTTTCAACATATTGCTTTGTCTGCAGTGGCTCATTTTCGTCATCCTCTGGAGGAGATTTTATAGGTCAGACTGTGGACTACTACTCATACTTTTGTCCCTCATTATTTGCTTAATCTGGCTGTATCCTTCTCTGGTTGATATCGTTTACCTCTAGTAGCAATTATCCATGCTCCGGTCTGGCTCTGCCTTGGGTAAATGTAATTTTTCTGGTTTTTTGTTGTTTTTTTCAGGGGCCTCTTCTTGTGTCTTTGTTACATATTCAGATCCTGTTCTGTGGAGAGTGTTGCCTGGTCAGGTATGCCTTTCTATAATCTGCATGTGCTACCTTTAAGGGTGTCACTCACACTGTTGAGATGGGGTGTTCTGCAAGACCACTTACAGCTTACCTAGTGATTTACATCTATATATATATGCAGATTTTGTTAAACAAGACCGATGTCTGTAGGTTTACTTTCTTCTTAGAATTCTTCTCAAGAAGTCGATA